TTACGTGTTCTTGGTTTCATTATTCTGTGGACGATTCATAAAGCTGACATTTTTTCTTCCTCCAGTTTCCCATTATCATGTTATTTCAGTTTTCCAGGTTTCTCTAGTGCATATCGTGCACTTATTCATATACGCATTGCTTTTTATTGCATGCACATCGACCCTGTAGTTTTTTTGTAGGTTAACTGGTGTCAAAAAACGCTTGACCGTTTCAATTCCGGAAACTCAAAAAATGTGTACAGCATTTTTAGTGGTGATGAATCGTGGATTTACTGTTATGAACCAGAAAATAAACGACAGTCGGCTGTTTGGGTGTTCCAAGGTGAAGAAAAGCCAACAAAAGTCATCCGTTCTCGAAGTGTTTCGAAAAAGATGGTCGCGACATTTGTGTGAAAAGCAACATATTGCAACAATTCCTCTTAATGAGCAAAGAACTGTTACTGTGGATTGGTATACCACCATTTGCTTGCCAAAAGTCATCACCGAGCTTCGGAAAGTCAATCCCTGAAGAAGAATCATCCTCCACCAAGACAATGCAAGCTCGCACACAGCCCAAAAAACAAGTCAGTATTTAACGGAAGAAAACGTGGAATTATTGGACCATCCTCCATATAGTCCCGGTCTAAGTCCTAACGATTTCTTTACTTTTCCGAAAATTAAAAACAGACTGCGTGGTCAAAGGTTCCAGTCACCAGAAGAAGCAGTTGACGCATTCAAAAATGCCGTTTTGGATCTGCCAGCAAACGAGTGGAATAAGTGCTTCGAAAATTGGTTCGAGCGCATGCAGAGGTGTATTAATCTTCGTGGAGAATACTTGGAAAAACAATAAAGTCATTTACAACTACCTACCGTGTTGTTTTATTTCCATATGCAAAACTTAAAAGACATCCCTCGTATATGCCTTAGGGCGTTAAAAAAGCTTTACCGCCGACTGCGTTTAAATTAAGCTATGTTGCCATGGCGCAACCGCCGGTGACAAAATAGTGCGATCAATTTATTTTTATTTGTAATTATATACTAAGTGACATATAAATTCGAACACCCAGTTTAAATGGTTTTATTTTAATAAAATTTTGTATAAGTACTTAATGAAGCATAATAAGTAAATGATAAAAATTTCAAAATGATTGCACTGCTTTAAAGCCATTTGACCTTTAATAATGTGTGGATGCACCCTGATGTGCTACGCATTCTCCAACGCGCCTAGGCATGCTTCTGATCAGGTGGTCAATGTCCTCCTGTGGTATCTCATTCCAGGCAACCACCAACTCCTCTCGAAATGCTTCTAGAGTCTGAGGAGGACGTTGCAAATTGAGCAATCTCCTACCCATTATATCCCACACGTGCTCAATTGGGGATAAGTCGGGAGATCTTGGTGGCCATGGTAACAATGTGACATCATTATGTTGAAAGAAGTCTATTGTGACTCTTGCAACATGTGGTCGGGCATTATCTTGTTGGAAAGTTGGATCTGCCAGGGTGTCAAGATATGGTAAAAGATGGGGTTCTAGAACTTCGTGGATATAACGCTGCGCGTTCATGTTACCTCTGATGAAGATTAAAGGTGACCTGGAACCATAAGCTATAGCAACCCAAACCATAACTCCAACAGTGTGATGAACATGTCTTTCAACAAAAAACTGTTGATTCCTCCTTTCACCACGTCGCCTTCTAACCCTGGCACGATCATCGTGCATGCCTAAACAAAATCGAGACTCGTCACTAAAGACAATACTGTTCCATTCCTGATCCCAGAGTGACCGTTGTCTGCACCACTCAAGGCGCGATTCTGTCGGTGTTCTCAAGTTAAAGGGAGGACCCAGTGTGGCCGGTATGAAAACAAGCCAAAACTTTCGTCGGTAAACACTTCGCATGCCAATAGGTCTTCCGTGTTCTACAAACCATTCATTTTCAATGGACCTGGTAGTGGAGAAACGGTCCCTTAAGGCCAATAATCTTAGGCGGCGATCTTCACGGTCTGTTGTTCTACGGCGGCGTCCAGTGCCCCTTGCTCTTTGCGTACGGCCTTCTCGAAGCCATGCCTGACAACACCTAACCACAGTGTCTACACTTCTTTGCACTCTAACTGCAATTGCCCGAAAAGAAAGTCCAGCTTCCCGAAGTCCCACTATACGGCCCCTATCAAACTCACTAATCGTACAGGTCTCCGTACTCTAGGCATCGTAACCGATCGTAAAGGATGTCAAGAACCAAAATCCGCCAACGTTGATTCTTTACTGCGGCTGAAATATTCATTTTTAGAGCGTTAGTGAATTAAAAAAAAGCAGTATAAAAACCGGAATGTCCAACTGTTAAGGCTGAAAATTTTTTCACTTGTTATTTACAGTAAGATAAATACATTCACCAACTTTAATTAAAATAAAACCATTTAAACTGGGTGTTTGAATTTATATGTCACTTAGTATACTTGAAAGTTACTCCACATTTTTTTTCAAGCGATCGGACACAAAATTATGAGTGTTATGTCCGTTAGCTTAACCCGCTTGATGCATAAATAACTATCATTATGAAGTTCCATCCTGGTACAGATCTGTTAAAATTTTTGTATTATTGCTTCAGTTACAGATTCTCCTTTGTACCAGTAGCGGATAAGAAAAACAAAAAGCTTTTATTTCGTAGACGGTGGTTTCACACTACATTAGCAACATGTGTGTCGTGGGTTTGTTTTGAAAGTTTAACTGATCTTTGAACGTTCGAATTTTGGCACGATTCGCGAATTAGGTTTGGAACACTAAATCGGTTTGTGACCTACGTTAAACTGGATAATTCTTGTTTCTAATTTTAGTTAATAATTTTTATCTAGTATTCTGACGTCAAAAAGAATAGTCCAGTAAATTTAATCCAAAAGATTGACCATGTCCGTCCTACCCACTATCTTATGTCTAAGAATTAAGCACCCATTCTTTTTAGTACTCCAAAAGTATGATTAGATTCTGCTAACAGTATTCGGATTGGCCAATTATCAAGACTGGATCCACAAAAAAATGTATGAATGCTACAAAAATGAAACGAATTTCGATATACTTGAATCTTTGAGTTCGTAAAGAAATACCCCAAAATGTTGAAGAAAGAGTTTATGCACGCTACACTGATCTCCGACAATAATACGGCATTATCTACTTTGACCACAGCATATTTCAACAAAATCGATTCTGTCGCTTCTGAGTCTACACGGCCACAAAGATGCCAACAGGGCGACCGGCAGACTAACACCAGACAGCGAGGAAAATGAGTAACATGGATTTTCTGAATGTTGATGTATTAAAATAGGAGTTCCCAACCAGGAGGGCGCGCGCCTCCCCAGGGGGGCATAGAGAGATGTCAAGGGGGGCGGAAACCGTTTGCATTCTAGAAAGAAAACACAAAAAAATAAACAGACAACATTAAGCAATAACATTACAATGTAATATTTAATTTACACGCAAAAATTAGAAATTAAATGTCATATTCACTTATTCTGTCAACCGCTGTTTCAAAACCCGGCGTCGTCAATCGCAGTTCCGCTTAACATTCATCACTTAGCAAACAATTGTGTACCTGCCAGACGCGGATGAGCATCTGTGACATTCATTCCCACAAACTTGCGAAAAATTTGACGTTTCGATGTACATGTTTTGTTGAGAAATCGGAGTATGTCAAATTATTGTGTCTCACTGTTAAAAGGCAAGTTTGTGTATTTACAAACCTCAGTTACCATTTTTATTTAATTTACTAAATTGTTGATTGAGTGGGGACGCGTTCATAGATCGATCATTGGGACTCTTTTACCACATCACAATCAAACCAACGTGGCGAAATAATTTTGAAACGACGAACTTTAAGTACTTAATATTGATTCCAAATGTATTTTAAATTACTATTAGAACGTCAACCTGATTACAAAAATATAAATCTCCCGGTGGCCAATATACTGTTGAATACATTACGTTATTAAGATAAAATAATGAGCATACATGTATAATTAGTAATTACATGTAGGTATTTTGCCTATTTATTTATTACTTATTTGTTTTATTGTTATAGGTGCAAACTGGCAGCGAAAAAAAGAAAGTTTTCCGAAGATTATGTTAAGTTTCGATTTACCTTCATAGAAAAAGACGAGTTACAATTGCCTCAGTGTGTGATATGTATGAAAGTTTTGAGTAATGATAGCATGAGGCCCAATCGCCTTGAAAGGCATTTGAAGCAACAACATCCTACTCTGGTTTTGAAGACGAAAGAGTTTTTCTCTTCTAAAGCAGAATCACTCAAGCGGATGAGACTGGATAAATCGGGAAGTCATCACACAGATGTATCGCAGTATCTCAAAGCTTCATTTGAAATAGCTTTTATGATAGCAAAGCAAAGGAAACCTCATACTATCGGTGAAGAATTAATAAAGCCATGTGTCTTAAAAGCGACGCAGATAATTTTAGGAGTAGATGCAGAGCAAAAAATTAAGTCTATTTCTCTTTCGAATAACACAGTCAAGCGTAGAATTGATGACATTGCAGCAGACATAAAGTCACAAATAATTAACAAAGTAAAATTATCGCCATTTTTGCCATTAGTTGCGATGAATCCACCGACATCGTTAATTGTGCACACTTAATAGTTTAGGTTCGTTACATCGGCGGAGATATAATTCAAGAAGAGATTTTGTACTTCCGATCTTTGACAGCAGGTACTACATCTGAAGATATGTTTAATTCAATATCAAATTTTGTTGAAAAAAATTATTTTGATTGGAAGAATCTCATTGGACGGATGGCGCACCTGCACCCCACATTGTGTTATTCATCGGCAAGCTTTGGCTTCCAAAACATTGCCACAGAAATTACACCAGTCTTTGGACTCTGCTATAGGGATTTTAACGTACATCAAGAGCAGCGCTTTGAACAGTCGATTATTTACTTTACTTTGCGAGGATCTCGATTCTGATCACAAAGTTCTTCTGTTCCATACAGAAGTACGCTGGCTGTTCAAAGGCAACATGTTGGCTCGCCTTTATGAATTGAAAGAAGAGGTAATTTTTTTTCTTGAGTTCAAAGAAAAACACGATTTTCTTGACAATGTTCAGAGATAACAGATTTCAATGGAGGTTGGCTCATTTAACTGGCATATTTGACTTCTTGAATGAGCTAAACTTGAAACTTCAGTTCAGAAACAACACTATAATAAGCAATTATGATTAAATTCAGGGGTTCATATCAAAGCTTCAACTTTCGAATCAAAAAATGTCTTCTGAAAATGTTATATCTTTTTCTAGGCTGTTCGAAGCGATTAAAAATAATATACTGGACGCAAATTTAAAAGCTGACATAAAAACTCATTTGCAAGCGCTGGAAGACGAATTTCGCCGATACCATCGAGACATAAATTATTCATAGTCACCAACATGGCACATGACAAGAAATCCATTTGTTGTCGATGTGCCACAATTACCAGAAGAAGTTCAGGAAGAATTTCTAGAAATGAGGCTGATTCGTCCATGAAAGATGACTTCCATCTTTTAACATTGAAGAAATTTTGGATCAAAAGATTGCCTGTTCATTCAACACTTGCCTCTCTTGTTTTACGAATACTAGTTCCTTTTTCTTCAACTTACTTATGTGAGACAGGCTTTTCTGCTCTAGTTTTAATTAAAACTAAACAGCGAAATCGTCTTGATGTCTATGGCGACCTGACGATAGCTCTGGCAACAACAGAACATAGAATCAACCAACTGGTACAGAACATGCAATCTCAAGTGTCTCATTTGTACCTACTCTTATTTTATCCAAGTTTTTCGATAAAAAACATTTATTAGTTTATTTAAACTTTTAAAGTTTATTAGAATTAAAATAAAAGACTTTGTACCTATATAATATAAAGTAAAGGGGGTCATGAAAATATAATCTATAGTCCGGAGAGCCTCAACAAAAAAAAGGTTGAGAAACCCTGTATTAAAACATCATAAAACGCCCAAAAAACTATATAAGAATTTGCAAAGATTTTATGGCTGTTGAACCAAGTCTTATATAGGGTGATTTTTTGCTAGTATCGTTTTGGCAACACTGTTTTTGACAGATGACGCGTAAATCGTGTCTTGTGTCATTGTCAAACTTGTTCAGTTTGGTCTATAATTTAACCATGAATCGACTTACGAACGAACAACGCTTGCAAATTATTGAATTTTACTATCAAAATTCATGCTCGGTTAAGACAGTGCATCGAGCACTGCTTCCAATTTATGGGCAATTTGGTCGGCCTACTGAGGGAGCTATTCGGAAGCTTGTGACTAAATTTCGAACCCAGTTTACATTATTGGACATTAAATCACCAACACGCAGACGTAGAGTGAGGACTGAAGAAAATATTGCGGCTGTATCCGCCAGTGTTAGTGATGACCGTGAAATGTCGATTCGCCGCCGTTCGCAGCAATTGGGCCTCTGTTACTCCACTACGTGGAAAATTTTGTGGCAGGATTTGGGTGTAAAACCTTATAAGATACAGCTGGTGCAAGAATTGAAGCCACACGACCTCCCACAACGTTTCCAATTTGGTGAATGGGCGCTGGCAAAGTTGGAGGAAGATCCACATTTTTATCGAAAAATTGTGTTCAGCGACGAAGCTCATTTCTGGTTGAATGGGTACGTTAACAAGCAAAATTGCCGCATCTGGAGTGAAGACCAGCCAGAAGCATTGCAAGAGCTACCAATGCATCCCGAAAAAATCACTGTTTGGTGTGGATTATGGGCCGGTGGCATCATCGGGCCGTACTTCTTCAAAGTCGACAATGGCCGGAACGTAACTGTGAATGGCGAGCGATACCGTGCGATGATAACAAACTTTTTTTTGCCCAAAATGGAAGAGCTGGACTTGGCTGACATGTGGTTTCAACAAGAGTGTGCCACATGCCACACCGCATACGAAACAATGGCCCTATTGAGAGGCGAGTTCGGTGAACAGTTTATAGTATCTCAGGTTTGGGGCCCGTCAATTTGCCGCCTAGATCGTGTGATTTAACGCCGTTGGACTATTTCTTGTGGGGCCATGTTAAGGCTAATGTCTACACTGGAAGCCAATATTGAAGCATTTATTCGTGAGATACAGGCTGATATGTTGGAGAGAGTGTGCCAAAATTGGACCTTGCGCATGGGCCATCTAAAGCGGAGCCGCGGCCAACATTTACATGAAATAATCTGTAAACATCAAATTACATCGACCGTTCTATCGACTCAAATAAAGATTTAATCGATTTTTCAATTTTTTTGTGTTTTTTTTGAAAATCAAATCCTATACCTCTTAAAAAATCACCCGTTACAACCGCCTGTATCTTTGTAGAGTCTCAAACGGTACATTTTTTGTAGCATTTCTATATTAACCTGTCTCATTTCATTGCCTTTTCGCTTTCTACATAAATTTGAGATCACACATTTTTCAGGAACGCTACGTATAAATCTGAATGACTAAAAACTGGAACATTAAAAGCAAATCATTTTTCGGTCAGTACAACAGTTATGCCCGTTACAGTTTCCACCGTCACTAAAAACGCATCATAAACAATTTGCGGCGCTGCTTCGGTCGTAATAAATAGACCGTACTCATAAATAATACCTAAAGCCTAAATTTTACGTTTTCTCCGAACAAATTCATATCAACAGGCGAAAGCCGAAATATTTTCATGCTCGGCGTAGTTGAGGCAATTTGCCAAAACTTCGGGCGTAGACATCATTCGAGGATCCAACATGTAAATACAGGGTGATTAAACAGCAAAGACAACATTGCCATGGAATAAAGTACTTTCGAAAACAACAATATAGAATGGATTCAGATATCTGATTTTATCTAGTGTGTCAGTGGTAGTGGCGGCAAACCTACCAAACCCAACGTACCCAATTTCTGACAGGCTTTCGTCTCTGGTAGTACTCTGTAATAAAGTGCCCGTTCAAGGACCCATTTTTATATTAACTGTCACGTGCTAAAATCACGTAAATTTCTTTTTACTATTTTGATCACTTATTATCAGTCATTTGAATGTCTCTTTATTGATTATACAGTACCGATTCCCAGATACAAAACCTTTTAAATGATTTTCCTTTGCGAAATTTCATAGTTAATCGATTGTATAATTTCATCACACGTATTACACCTGTTATTCTCAGCGACTTAGTCTTTTTGGACACTAATGTATTATTAACAACTATGTTCGAAATTTCCTCATAAAATATCGTTGGACCCTTGTAGAGTAGGCAACCAGTGCGCCACGTTGTGATTTTTACACGTTCTAGCCGTACGTTATATGAATGTTTACCTTCCTATCAAGATACCTTGATACGAAGGTAAAATTAAAATTAAAATTTGATTCACTATCAAGATACCTTTCTTTATCAGCTTTTCTCTGTTCCTTTCGATGCTCTGTCGGACGAGCCTTCTTCAGGGCCACTCATTTAACCTTCTTTTAGGGGGTTGCATGCGCAGACGGTCCAGCGCCATTTTCTTTCTTTCCGCTGTGATTTTGGTTGTGTGCGGGCCTTTTTTCGTTAACCTCCAGATTTTGGGATATTAACGCCCCAAACACCAGTTTATGGAGTTGTACCCTTTTATTTTGTACCTTACGTTTAGTTGTGTTGGGGTGGGTGTACCCCGTCCATCTTCGAATGGGATTTTAACCTCCAGCGGTAAGTTTTCTTTTGTATACCATCGGACTATTGACCATTTATGCTTGTCCTGAAGAAGTTTGTTCAATATCTGATTCCTTTCAGTGAAAAGCCATTGTGGAGAACCACCATTCACACTCGCCCAGCTTTGTTTTGTAGCTGCCTTGTAGCTGTTTCGCGGCCGATTTTGTTGGAAGCCATCTCTTCCCCTTTATAAAAACCCTGATGTGAACAGGTAAAATATCATTTTAATTGGGTATTTTATAGATATTGGTATATTGATTGTTGCTGACTGAAATTCTTAGTGTGTTATTGATTTTGTTTGGCATTTTACGTATTCAAATATAGGGCAGTGCCTACACGTCACCGTCTTTTGGGTTTATTATATTACATTAACCATGATTTTGAATTTTGAGCTGCCATAACTTATTTTAGAATAAGGGATAACTTTCTGAGGGTGTATCACTTTGGTAAATTTTTATCTTTTCTTGCCCTTGCAGAACGAAAAGTAGTTTTCTTGTAAAAGAGAATGTACATGGATTTTTCTTCAAGTTTTGAGTCTTTTAAATGTGTAGTTCTGTCTCAGACATAGAGGAGAGAGTAGATTTTTAAACGGCTTTTTTCTCTCTCTTTGAGAACGCGGCAAGGAGCTCCTACCTTATGATGTTCCTTACGAGACTGCTCACTACTGGCCACTGATCTTTGACCTGAGTTTTTGAGAGCTGAGAACATCACAGCTACGCCTAGAGCTGTAACTGGAAGAAGTCCATTGTCCAGATAAGTTTAGGTTTAGGCGTTAATCTAAGGGCCTATGTTTGTATAAGCCTTCGTACATGTACCATGGCAAACGTTTTGCAGGGCTGGTTATTACGGTCTGATAATTTTATTGTCAAGTAGTATTGAATTACATATTTTCTTTTAACTTACACTCCAGTGGCGGAGCATATGTGCTGCTTGTTTTGGCAATATATTGTGATTCGTTTTTAGATATTTTGTTTTATTTGGCTCTCTGTATACAATTAATTAGGTTTCGTCATTACTATTAGACTCTTTTCTTTGTGAGGTGGTCAGGCAAAACAAGTTCCGACTAACAACTCGGGGATTTGTGGATTAATCCATCTTGAGTCACATTGGCGCTCGTAACCCCCCAACTCTCCGCTTTATTGACCCTTAGATTTCATTTATAGTAATTTATTAATTCATTAATTAATTTAAAACAAGGAAAGAGGAATCACCGCACCATTTCCTCTTATTTATAAAAAAAGGCGTGGCAGAACTTTATGTATGTAAGCTTACGAAATATCTCAAACACTTTTTTTATTTTTTGCATGCGAGTCCAACCCTGTAGCACACGAAAACTTTCCAGAAGTTACACAAGGCAGCTTAGTGTGACTCAACGCGACAGCCCTTACCCCTGTTTACATTATACATTCCATTCCTTCGCTGGGTACCTGCTCCCAGGATAAACTTTGTTAGTCTGGCGTAGATGCATTTCTATTATCGCGTGGATCACATCGCTTCTCAGACCAAGTAGAGTGAACTTCATTACGGTGTTGATGTGCTATTGGGTGTGGTGTTTTAGTTACCTGAAAGGTGAGCTATCACTGAGTGTTTCCTTTATTCTACTGTACTGCATGGATTGATAACCATAGTAGTTTCATATTCATGATCATGAATGTCTTAAGCCATGTTTATAAAGATGCTATACTTTTTACCTTCATAATTTAACTTATGGCTTACGACTTGTTATTGAATATCCGCAGGTGGGACGCCTCCAGGTTCTGGGGGTTGTTAT